GCCAGCTGAGGTAGAGTCCCTGAACCACATTGCTACGACGTAATGGAGAGGGTTATAGAATGACTCTAAATGACCACCCCCATGCCCTGCTCACAGCCTTTGGCAAAGACCATCCATGGGCAGTTTTGTAGCATATGACATTGACCCTTGGTCATATTTGATGGGACCACAGGACCCTGACCTAGGGGCAGTCACTCCATGGGCTCTACGTTGCCCTGATATATAGAGAAGAAGTAGACCCATCAGATTCTTGCTCTGGGGTATGTGAAGGACAAACTGGGCTGAGAGACTGGGGCAATTAATGTTTAAAGTTGACATTGAAACATTGTAAGGTAGAAAGAAGCCAGAGGGGCCACAGTGGGACTTATAAGGGACAAGAAATGTGGGCCAGCATGATCGATGGCATTGTGTGGGTTCTGCGTGATGCACCCAGCCATTCTGTGCCATAACTGCCATGAGTGTCAGTGAGGGACCCCAGCTGGCTTTTCCTGCAAGGTTTCCCAGCAAACCAGGAGCAGATAAAACCATTAGGGTCACATGTGGGGCTCTACAACTGGACTCTAGCTCCAGGGATGTGCCTGATTCTTCCATATTAAGATAAACCAGGTGCATTCCAGCCATCGAGAAGTCAATTTTGTCCTAAGCCATAAACACGTCCCTCTCTCTAACTCAAACTGGAGAATCTAGCTGGTCTTGCTGATGCCCATGACCAGGCTTCTGTCAGTAAGTCTGCCAATAAATTACACAACCCTGGATCTGCCTGCCTCTCTTCCTTCCCTCTCGGGACACCTTGGAGCCAGTCTTCATACTGTAGGACTAGGTTGTTCCAGAACAGACACAGAGAAAAGAGGTGAAACTTACAAGTGAGAAGCTGGGGGAGTGCACACACTGGGGGTGAGGAGAGTAAAATCTCAGCTGGCTCATGTCAATGTCAGAACATAGAATCAAACAGCTCTCGCCTGCTCCTGAGAAGGCAGCCTGGGATCCAGAATGGCCCCCTACACTGCTGAGCTTCTTAAATTCGAGGTCCAGCTTTTCTGGGCTCCCGTGTCTGGTATGTTGCTCTTCACCCTCAGTCCCATTCCCTGAATTCCTTCTCCTTACCTTCAACCTCCCTCCCCTCCTTCCTCCTGATCAGAAGAACAAGGGATCTAGATTTAAGGCACTTTTCAGCTGAGCAAGAGGAGAGAAACGCAAGAAAATAGTCACTCATCCAACATGTATTGAGAACTCTGTGCCCTGAGCTACTCTGCTGGACTCTAAGGATGCAACCATGAACCACAGTCCACAGTAGTGCTGGGGGAGGGAGAAGGACAGACAGTGTGGTGGGAGGGGAGCAAGGAAGTGATTGAGAGCGTCCCAAACCCCAGCAACCTCAGAGCCAAGTGTTTTCAAAGCTTAAGTCACACTGAAATTTATGCTTTGAGTGAAAATGAGATGCAAATGTTTGACAATAAACAAGCATATGGCAAATTTATTTCCGTTCCCCTCCCCACCACTTCCCTGGATCTGTGATCCTTCTACCTCCATTAAAAAGAATTTAAAACAAACAAGGTTTATCCTGAGAGCTTTGCACAGATTAATTCTTACAGTGAGTAAAGCCCACGGAAGTGCAGCTTCTTGTTTTGGAGGACTGTGATAACAAAGGCAATATCCATGGTAACTGATCAGAAACATAGGAAATCTATGCGAAATCTCTGATGAAACAGATAATCAGACTAGACAAAACTGATTTATGAATCTGGCTATGGGATCTTAGGCCTGCAAGGTAACCTGCGACCATAGGCGTGGGTGGACAGGACTAGATGGCCAGCTCTTCCTTCTTCTACGCCCATATCGCTACATGACACTAGGACATGATTCTAGCCCTTCCTGTCCTTGCCTCATCGGGACCTTGCTAACATGCAGTGTGCCGTGGGCTTCTGAAAGAAACAGCACCATGTAAATCACACAGACCGGAATTTAATTTTTATATTACAACAGAAAGAAGCAAGCCTGGGAAGACAACCCTAAGGTCAGCTGGAGGGAACAGGAATTGATTTCTTCGTGAAGTCATTGTGCACCCAACCTCTGGCCAGATGTGACCTGGCAAAGGTCCACATCTGCATCAGAGAATAGAGACCGTCATCCTTTCGTACTTAGGAAACAGATTAATAACACAGCGAGCCGTGAGCACGTTAGCAGCGCAGCCGCCGCCTGTCTGATGGATTGGAATGGGCAGCAGTATATGGGAGCCACATTCTCAGAGTCAATGAGATTTGATGGTTGAGTTTGTCCCTGGCAATGAGCACCGTTCTAGGAAATCAAGATAAAAAGTGTGGCGGGCTTTGTTGGCTTCAGTGTTTCCTGAACAAGGACCATTAGCTTTGTGTGACTTTTTGGACATTTTGCTGTCACTACATCCAGGGAAGAACTTCAGTGGGATTGTGCACTGCCACGCTACAAAACCTGCTTTAAAACAACAGATGGAAAAAAATAAGCGAATCACAGGAAAAAGTCGGGCAGCTCTGCTTAACGGGCAGGTAGGGGGAGCTGGCCCCTTTCCTCTGGTGCTGTCCCCGGGAGCGCAGCTGGAAAACCACTGCATAGCCCACAGGGAAGCTGCTCATCTTGTTCCTGATGCTCAGAACAACAGGAGGTGCAGGGAGGAGGGGATGAGGGCAAGGGAGAAGGGGCAAGCTGCCCAGGGAGAGAGGAAGAGAGCCAGAGGTGAGGGGTAGTGTGGGAAACGAGGACGCTGCGAGTCAGAGTGGACAGAGGGGTCCACCTTGGGAGGGAGAAGACGGGATGGGAATGTGGGATGGGACACAATTTAATAGTAAGCTGAGAGATTTGGCCTTGTCCTGTATCACTGAGCTGTGCAACTTATACAACTGAAGTGTACCTTTCGACAGACCTGGAGGCCGGAAGTCTGAGATGGAGGTATCAGCAGGCTGGTTGCTCCTGAGGCCTCTCTCCTTGGCTTGCAGGCAGGTCTCCAGCTTACAATGGTCACAGTTAGAATGTTTTAACTTTGAGACTGTGTGAAAGCAATATGCATTTGGTAGAAACTATGTTTCAACTATGACTTGAATCTGGATCTTTCCCAGGCTGAGGGTATGTGATATGATCCTCTTTCATGAGGCCAGGCAGCGGCAGGGTGCCGCAGCGGCAGGGTGCCACAGCTTCCCACCAGCCAGTATCAAGAGGAAGCAACCAGTACTCTGCAGGGCACTGTGTTGCTAAGCTAGGGTGTTCCTGGGTTGGGGGCACCAAATGCCTTTGCAACCTGAGATACTTTCAACTGATGATGGGCTATCAGAGCATGGCCCCTGTCCTAAGTCAAGGAGCATCTGCGCTTGTCTGTGTCTCAATCTCTTTTTATAAGGACACCAGTCCCCTTGGATTAGAACCCAGCATGACCTCATTTTAATTAAATTACCTCTTCAAAGACCCTATCTCCAGGTTGGTGATAGAGTTCAGGGATACAGCATGTGCCTAACATGCACAAAATCCTGGTTCAACCCCCAGCATCACATGAAAGAAAAGAAACAACAAAAGAGCCTGTCTCCAAATTCAGTCACATGATCAGGTGCTGGGTGTTAGAAGTTGATTTCAACATATGAATTTTGGGGGTCGTAACTCTGAGTTCCATATCTATGTTATATGTCATTACATGTCCATATAATATACATGTTATACTGTTACAGTGCATTTGGTACAATATATTACAATAATAAAGTTGGTTGGCTCCAGGCGTAGCATGAGGGGATGGATGGGAAGCGGAAGTGGAGGGGTGGGAGCAGACTCACCCTGGAGTCAGGACCCCTGTCGTGCTGTAAAACAGTGTACCTGCAACAAGGCAGAGCAGGACGAGGTGGCTGTATTTTTTTTTTCCTTTGTAGAGCTGGGGATGGAACCCAGGGCCTTGAGCATTCTAAGCAAATTATAGCCACATCCCCAGCCCACGGTGGCTATAATGACATGCTGGCAGGGAGCTGTCATCCATAAGTATCACAGGAATTTAAAGAGGAACAAGAATTCAGGAGAGAAGACAGAAAGTGTGGACGGGACTGTGGAGGGGCGAGGAGGGCTTAACGTGTAAGGGTGGGGAGGCTGTGGACAGGAGAGGCAAGGAGGAATCTATGTTAATCAAAAGGTGGAGGCCAGTCCATAAGCACAGGTTCTATGGCCAAGCTAAGGTTTGCAGACCTCTCTATAGAAGGTGTGGACAGCACCTCATTGCCGGGGTCTTCTCAGCCAAACTCATTAGCTTAGCAAGCCACAGCTTGGAGCATGGTATTTAAATATGCAGGACTCTGCCCTTGTATCTTAATTGATCCTGAAGAAATGCCCAGACTTAATGCTGAGAGCCCCAATCAGCAGGAAGAGCATTCCCTACATTCAGCGACTTGGTTTTGCATTTTAATCCTGCTGGAATACACTAGGGACCTCACCAACACCAGCCCCAACAGGGGGGCTAAGTGAGGGGCGCCCCAGTCCAATCAAGTCAGGGCACCTGACATCCACCATCATGAAGTGGCTGCATGTGTCTTTTAAAAGACATGAGATTTTTAACATTTATTTTTAGATGAGCTCAAATAACAATCTAGAAAAGCCAGACTCCAGAGAACAATGAGGAAACATAGAGAAGCCAAATATAAAAATACTGGCACATGCAAAAAAAAATAAAATAAAATAAAATAATCAATTCACTTCCACAGATTACAAGTGGAAATTCCCAGAGGGATGAGTAGGTTTTGAAAGAGAAAAAGAGATTATATTTTATGGGGAAAGATACAATAACCATTCTCTTCCCATAAAGCAAGTGATGGAAGGCTGACTCTGCTCCCATAGATACACGCTGCACATCTTCAGGGTAATACTAACAGGAAATCAATAGGATCTTTTATACGTGAAAAGACATTATCTCTCTGGACTCCCAGCACAGCTAATCGGACTACAGAAGAACTTCACAAAAACTTGCCACTCACCATTAATCTTGGTCCTGGGACACTAAGTAGCCTTTAAATCCACATCTTTGTTTATTTTTAAATTGTCATTCTTATTTGTTTTTAGAGAAAATGATGTTCAAAGAATCACCCTTCACTGGAGCCACAGAGCCTCCAGGTGACGCTGATGACAAGTGTCCCCGCGGTGGGGCAGATGCTCTTGGAAAGCCCCTCCTACCCGCATCCCTTCTGGGTGATGGCCATATCATTAGCCAAGAGAAGCTTTATCAGGGCATAATTTGACAGCGAGGACAGGTACAGCAGGATTTATGGGATCTCCTGGTTTTGCCTTCATTGATCTGAAATAGAACCAAAGTTAATATTAGCAAAAAAAAAAACACTTTGTGCTGGGGTCATCTTCCCATGAAAGGCTTTGGCGACTGGCGGCTTTGAAAATTTATTATACAAGTGTTCTTGGTTCACTCCAGGGCATGATGAGTCTCAAGACACCCTAAAGTCTAAATATCCTGTTCTCTCCTCCCACATGAGGATCTAATCACCATCTTAGTAAAACGCCTTATTTTCTCAGGAAACTGATTTAATCGTTGCAGGGGACACAGTCCATTTGATGTCAAGCTTGGATTTAGCACTGGCTCTGCCCGTGTATTAGTTTGCTCCAGCTGCAGTAACAAACACCGAAAGATGAACCGCTTAAACAACAGAAGAGTATCCTCCCAGTCTAGAGGCTAGAAATCCCAGGGTCCTGTTGGCAGGGTCACGCTGTCCCTGGCTCCAGGGGAGAGTCCTTCCTTGCCTTTCCAGCTTCTGGCCTGCCGTGGCTTAGAGCCCATCGTTTCTCACATGTGGCCATCTTCTCCCCAAGCGTCTTCACATTGTCTTCCCTCCATGTGTGCCTCTGACCAAATTTCCCCTTTTTCTTAGGGCACCAGTCAAATTAAGTTAGAGCTCACTCTGATGACCTCATTTTAGTTACTTAAAAGACCTTATCTCCAAATAAATTCTGCAGGTTAGGAACACAAGCCATCCTCAAAAGCCCATAAGAAACTCACCTCCCACGGAATGCAAGCTAGATCACTCCTAATATGATCAGGAGAAGTCAGGTTTCTCAACCTTAGCACAGTTGACATTCTGTCCTGATAATTCTTTATTATGGGGTGCTGTCCTGTGCATTACTTAGAGTACTAAGCAAGATCTCTGGCCTCTGCCCACCAGATACCAGCATCACCTTTCCTCTCTTAGAAAGAACAAAAATGTCTCCATTTATTGTCAGATGTCCCTCTGCCCCCAGGTGAGAACCACTGAGTTAAGTGGAATGCAGGTCAAGATTATAGAAGTAATACAAATAGAACATGTGTGAGCGGCCAGCGAGGCCACTCACCAGTCACAGAATGTTTCCTAAAAGCGAATCCTGAGCAATTCCCTAAATGTCTGGCTCTTTCATTAATTTGACAAATATTTACTGAGGATCAAGAATATGTCTGGTGCTGCTGACGGGGGCACTGCAGGCAAATCAGAGAACAAGGGAGTTTTCTTCTTTCTTTCTTAACTTCTTTTTTTTTTTTAATAGTATTCGGATTGGACCCAGGAGTACTCTACCACTGAGCCACATCCCCAGTCTTTTTATTTATTTATTTTTATTTTGAATCAAGCCTGAGGCTGTCCTCAAACTTGCAATCCTCCTGCCTCAGCCTCCTGAGTTGTGGGGATTACAGGCATGTGCCACCACGCCTGGCAGGAGATTTTGCAAAACCTTGCCTATAGCATCATGTATTTTAGTGGGGAAGGTTGAAAATAAACAAGATGATAAAATATATAGTAGGTCAAGTACTGATATGTGTGAATGAAAAAAGAAAGCGAGCAAGGGAACAGGAGTGTTGGTGGTGCTGACGCTTCCCTACAGTGGCCAAGGAAGAGCTCACGGAGTCCAGGTGCAGACAGAAGGTGGGGCATCGGGCCCTGATGATCTGGGGGGAACAGCATTGTAGCAGAGGGAACAGCAACCACAAAGGCCCCGAGGCGGCCATCTGTGGTGAGTCTGAAGAGCAGGAGGCACGGCCAGAATGGAGCGCACATCATGGGGAAGCTGAGAGATGAAGCCAGTGAGGGAGAGCTGAGAGACGGAAAGAGCAGTCCCTCCTGTCCAAGGGCTCACGTTCCCAGACTCCTGTGGATGCTGGAAACTGCACAAAGTACCCAATCCTACCTAGACTGCTTTTCCCTGTACCTACTTTCATGATAAAGCTTAAGGATAAATTAGTCACAGTAAGAAATTAACCACAATAACTAATAATTAAATAGAATAATGATAATTACCTACTGGGATAAAAGCTATATGAATGTGGTCCCTCCCTCCCCCACTCAGCTCTCTCTCTCTCTCTCAAAATACCTTGTTGCTGGACTCACGCTTCTTCTCGTGATGGTGTGAGATGATACAATGCCTATGTGATAAGGCGAGGTGGATGGCATAGGCACGGTGACTTAGCGTTGGGCTACTAAGCACTGGAGCACAAGCCCTGAGATGACACTACGATCAATGTGACCCCTGGGTAATGGGTGGGTAGCATATACAGTGTGGATACACTAGATAGAGGGGAGATTCTTGTCCTGGATGGACAGAGTGGGAAGGCTCCATGTTTCATCATGTTATTCAGAATGGCATTCAACTTACAACTTGCAGTTTATTCCTGGAATTTCCCATTTAAACTTTCAGACTGTGATGGACCTCAGATATGTGAAACTATGGAAAGCAAAACCACGACAAAGCGGCGTTCGGTCATGAAGGGCCCGGGGTCACAGGGAAGATGGATGCCGGGAGTGACGTGGAAGCCAGTGGCGTTGTGCCGGGAGGGCTCGTGTTCCCTGATACCTGGCAGGATCGTGCTGAGAAGGGACTGTGGGTGGGCCAGGAGGACGCAATTCAGCATGTGACGCTGACTATCCAACAGGCAATGTCCGCGGGCCAGGGTGGCAGGTGTGTGAGACGTGTGAGGTCCTGGGTGGATGAATCTGAAGGCAAAGCCACTGAGACTTGCTGGTGTGCCAAACGGGCTCTGAGAGAGAGGAGGTCTCTGCCTTTAGCGAATGGAAACATAGAGTTGCCTTCAATGGCGAGGAGAGAGCAGAAGGAGCAGGTTTGAAGGGGATATCCGGAGGCCTGCTGCTTGTTCTAATTGTGGCAAAATGTACATGACACGGGATTCTCCATCCTAAGCACTGTCAAGAGTGAGCCTCTGTGGCGCTCAGCAAGTTCACCTCGTTGGGTCACAGTGTTGTGCCACCCACCGTCCATCTCCAGAAGTAGGGCATTCGTCCTGAGACACTTCAACTCTGATCTGCTGTGGAGCTGGGGGCAGTGTGGCCTAAAGTTAGGTTTACATATGTCCCTCTTTTCAGGGACAGTCCTGATCGTGCCTATTATCCCGGTATCATCAGTAGGGCTCTTTTTGCTCTGGGAAGCATATCGGCATGATAATGTCACCCCACCTACACCCGGCTTTCTCCCAAGTAGGAGTCACCAGGCGGTATGTCTCGTAAACCAAGGGTGCCGAGCTCCAGTGGCCCAGAATCTCTACTCGAGCTCCTTCACCAGGCCATAGCCCAGTTACTTGGAACCCGCTGAAGGCCTTAAGTGTGTTCTGCTGCGACTTAACTCCCTTGGAGAAGTCTGCATGGGTAGCCGTGCCTTTGGCACTGGCAGGAGGCAGGTGTGACTCACGGGTGTGAGGACAAGCGCATGGCCTTGGGTCCACGTTCCTCTTCCGTTCCCCAATTCTGATGCACTAAACAAATGATGAGTCTAGATTGGCAACGTCTTTGGCTGCGATATCACCTGCTAGAATTTCCATCCCTGCGGGGACCATCTGCTTATTTACAACAGATCTCACCTCACCTGTTGACATTTACATGCACATGCCAAAACTAAGAGAAAGCCCGAAGCCTGGGGGCCTGACGATCTGAGGTGCTCCTGGGGTGCTCTGCACTTCCTTGGCCAGGCAGGCTGGAATGTGGTAGAGACCCAGGAGAGTGATGGATGGGCAAGCCCAAGTCCCCTGGGAAAATCTCAGAATGAATGAAACTCCGAGGCAGGCAAAAACAATAGCCCCGTGTTTAATCCTGAAGTTTACATGTACATCGGTACCATTCGATCACAGCCTTTTGTTTCCATGGAAACCGTTTATGATGCTACAAGAGAGGAGTCTGACCAGCATGAGGAAGGAGGGGCAGCAGGGGAAGCTCTCAACTGAGCTCCAGGTAGGAGGGGGATGGAAAAACAACAGGGCTCCTGAGAGAGTGACTCTCCAGACACCCGAGGACAAACCTCATGGCCCAAGCACAGCCCATGCATACCTCAGTTACTTCTGCTGGCCGCTGACCTGGCCATCTGGGCGACCCTCCCAAACACTACTTGACTTTGCTGGGGGTTTTTGTTGTTGTTGTTTGTTTGTTTGTTTGTTTTTGTTTTTTGTTTTTAAGGGAAAAAAAAGCATATTCTTCAGTCCAGAGGAAAGATCTGCTGCTAAGAGCAAGCATGGTGGACAGGCCGAGGGCAGTAGAGGTCACCGTCGGTGTGGGTTCCCTGTGGCCGTGGTCACAGATGACCACAAACCTGGTGGCTTAAAGTAACAGAAATTTATTCTCTCCACAGTTCTGGTGGCCAGAAGTCCAAAATCTGGCTGTGGGCAGGGCCACACCCTCTGAAGACTCCAGGAGAGACCCTTCCTGCCTCTCCCAGCTCCGGGGGCTGCGGGTGCTCCCTGGCATGTGGTGGCCCTGCTCCCATCTCTGTCTGTTATCAGAGCCTTCTTCCCTGGGTCTCCTTCTGCCTTTTTATTATGAAGGTCACCTGTCATTAGATGTAAGGTCACCCTCCTATCCAAGGTAATCTCATCTTGAGGTCCTTAATTATATCCACAAAGACCTTTTTCCCTCATAGCATTCACGGGTTCTAGGGGTCAAGACTTGGAGGTATCTTTGGGGGCCACCGTTCAACTCCTTATACCCACTTAATGTGAGACTTTGCCCTGGAAACTGCAAAAACCCACATTGCGAGCCGTGAATGGGCGCCCCGTGAGCCTCGAGGCTTTGCCAATTTCAGAGGCCTGGCACAAGTGGCTCCGATCATTTTCAGACCTGGGGATGGTAGGGATCTGGGGCGTTGCCATGGTGATGCCAAACCTCGGAACTTCTGTCTTTTCGTGTTGTTTGTGAGGACGAGTAATTCAAACCTTGTGTTCAACACGTGAATCCAGCAGGTGGGCTGATTCTGGGCGAACTCCTGGCTCAGAGTGAGGATGCCCTTCACCTCCACTGAAGAAACAGCGTCTGTGATATTGCTAGG